CAATGACTACTTATTTTTGTCCAGCTTTAACATCGGTATCGATATCGGTTATCGGCTACATGAGTTTTAAATATCGGCATATCGGCCAAAATCCCAATATTGTGCATCCCTAGTAAAAAGGTTTTATATTGACCGTGATACTCCAGAGTGAAACATGCAGCCTGAATGCAAACATTTGAATCTTCTGTAGCGGCTGCGGTGATGCGCCCCATGAGGGCGCCGCCCATCCCAGCAGCTCATCGTATTCAGTCTGCCATGTCCTACCCGGTCCGTGCAAAGTTGGCCCAGTACTTCATCATGCGTCGGCTCAGATTCTTCTCCTCTGTGGTGTAATTCAGTCTCTTCTCCAGGGGCAACCCAAAGACGAACTCGATCTCGTAGCCGTGGATCACGCCCATCCACTCCGGCCAGGCTATGTTGGAGGCCCTGTGATCGAACAGGTAGAGGTACACCCCTCCTATGGAGGCACGGGAGCAAAGCTTTAGAATAAACACCCAAAATGGCTCCAAACTGCTCCAAGTCATTTCATGAGCAGGGCTGGTCCAATCAAACAAAGGTTAGGGGCCCCAGGTAACCAGGGGCCCCACAACAATCAACTGTTTGCTAATTTTTTCTATGTATAAAATATTCCTGCATTGATATAGTAACAAAAACACTATTTTATGATAAAATGATAAATTCTTTAAACTAAATCTTATCTTCATCTTTAAAAATATCTTTAAACGAGAAGCGTCAACTAACAGGGTAGAAATACTTCATTACCTTAGAGTAGAAAGTTTTCATTATATTTTAAACAACTTTTTCCTTCTACTCTTTACATCTTAAAATAGAATCATTAGTTTTGTTTCATTTAAGCTCATTTTCTTTATGGTCTGTTGGTATTTGAGAAATAAAATCCATCAAAATAATTTGTTTCATCCAGAAAATGTATTTCTTTGTGGTTGAACTCGGTGCTGCCCCAACCTGTTGCTCACCACATACCAAAATAAATAGTTTTTCCAAGTTGATCAAAGTTAAATGTGACGCTGTTACCATCAGTTATAAAACTAAGAATCATCCAGAATTGTAGAAAAATGTTCCTTTAATAGAGTAGAGCAGTAAAGCTTCTGGCTTTTATACTTTAAGTAGTTTTAAAAATGCTACTTTTACACTTTTACTGGAGTAAAAAGCTGAAGTTGATCCTTTTAATTTCTATTAAAGTGTTTTTAAACAGCTGGATTTACACTTCTATTGTAGTAGAATCCCTTTTGTTGCTCTAACATCACAATTTCTCCATTGCGGGACAGTAAAGGGATTTTCTATTCTATTTTTTATTATATTCTAATAAACATTAATACTTCGGACACCTCTGCGTTAAACATGTAAAAACAATTAGTTATAAACAAAAGAATCAATTATTGACCCTGGAGCCAGAGGGACATGCAGACGAGGACGGACCGGAGTAAAATCATCCCAAATTTATTTAACGATGTCTGTCATTTTATTTCCTAAATCTGTTTTATCTGCTTTTCTTCCATTGTAGATTATTTTAGAACATTTCTGTCGCAGTTTTTACCAAATCCT